TCTAAATGTAATTTATGAGGAAGATAAGTATCTGACATCTTTTCCTTTACACTGGTATTGGTCAGCAAAAATAACGCCTTCATCTGTATCTCCTAATACAGTTGCTAAAGGGGTGGTAACCTCTTCAGTTTGGGCTAAGAAAAAAAATCTGTGTCCCTAACTTTTCATAAGTAGAATTACATTTCTTTGGTCAGTTCCCACTGTTGAATTAAAAAAAGACCTACCACTGGGGAGCCTGGGTGGCTCATCTGGTTAAGCATCTTTTTTTTTTTTTTTAAATTTTTAAAAAAATGTACTTATTGGGCGCCTGGGAGGCTCAGTGGGTTAAAGCCTCTGTGTTCAGCTCAGGTCATGATCCCGGGGTCCTGGGATTGAGCCCCGCATCAGGCTCTCTGCTCAGCGGGGAGCCTGCTTCCCCCCATTCTCTCTGCCTGCCTCTCTGCCTACTTGTGATCTCTGTCAAATAAATAAATAAAATCTTAAAGAAAAAAAAATGTATTTATTTGTGATTGGGTTATGTACATTGGGGAGGGTATGTGCTATGGTAAGTACTGTGAAGTGTGTAAACCTTACGATTCACAGACCTGTACTCCTGGGGCTAATAATACATTATATATTAATAAAAGATTAAAAAAATGTATTTATTTGACAGAGAGACAATCACTGGTGGCTCCAGTGAACAGAAGTCCAGGACCAGATGGCTTCACAGATGAATTCTACCAAATATTAGAAGGCGAGTTAATACTACTCTTCTCAAACTATTCCAAAAAATAAAAAAGAGGAAGGAAAACTTCCAAATTCATTCTATGAGGCCAGCACTACCCTGATACTAAAAGCAAAGACACCACAAAGAGAACCACAGGCCAGTATCTCTAATGAATGCAGATACAAAACTCCTCAACAAAAATACTAGCGGGGGACCTGGGTGGCTCAGTGGGTTAAAGCCTCTGCCTTCGGCTCGGGTCTTGATCTCAGGGTCCTGGGATCGAGCCCCGCATCCGGCTCTCTGCTCAGCAAGGAGCCTGCTTCCTTTCCTCTCTCTCTGCCTACTTGTGATCTTGAATAAATAAATAAAATCTAAAAAAAAAAAACAACAACCTAGCAAAATGAATCCAATAACATATTAAAAAAATCATTCACCACCATTATTTCTGGGATACAGGATGGTCCAGTATTTTCATATCAATCAATCATATTGTGATAACCTCACAATAACAGAAAGCATAAAAATCATATTATCCTTTTGATACAGAAAAAGCACAAAGCACAAAGACAAAGTACAACACCCATTCATGATAAAAAACTTCAACAAAGCAGGTCTAGAGGAAACATACCTCAACATAATAAAGACCTTTATGAAAAACCCACAGCCAACATCATACTCAGGGGGGAAAAACAGAGCATTTTCTGTAAGGTGAAGAAAAAACAAGGATGTCTACTCTCACCACTTTTATTTAATATAGTCCTAGCCACAGCAATCAAGACAACAAAAAGGAATAAAAGGCATGCAAATTGGTAAGGAAAAAGGAAAACTTTCACTATTTGTAGATAACATACCATATATATATATATACACACACACACACACTATATGTACTAGTACTAGTATACATATATATATACTATATGTACTATATATAGATATGTATCTATATATATATATAGAAAACCCTAAACCACTAAAAACTGATAAATGAATTTAGTAAAGTTGTAGGATACAAAAATCAATGTACAAAAACCTGTTGTATTTCCATACACTAATAATGAAACAGCAGAAAGAGAAATGAAGAAAATAGTCCCATTTACAGTTGTACCAAATATAATAAAATACCTAAGAATAAACTTAACCAAGGAAGTAAAAGACCTGTACTCTGAAACCTCTAAAATACTGATGAAAGAAATTCAAGACGACACACAGAAATGCAAAGATGGGGCTCCTGGGTGTCTCAGTTGGTTAAGCATCTGCCTAGGCTCAGGTCATGATCCCAGGGTTCTGGGATGGAGTTCTGCACTGGGGTCCCTCCTCACCAAGGACTCTGCTTTTCCCTCTCCCTCTGCCACTCCCCCAGCTCATCATGCTCCCTCCCCAGCTCTCTCTCAAACAAATAAATAAAATCTGGAAAAAAAAAAAAAAAAAAAAAAAAAGAAAAGAAACGCAGAGATATTCCATGGTCATGAATTGGAAGAATAAATATTGTTAAAATGTCTATACTACCCACAACAATCTATACGTTTAATGCAACCCCTATCCAATAGCACTTTGCACAGTAGTAGGACAAACAATCCAAAAATTTGCATGGAATGACAAAAGACCTTGAATTGTCAAAGCAATCTTGAAAAAACCAAAGAAAACTGGAGGTACACAATTCCAGATTTCAAGTTATATTATAAAGCTGCAGTAATCAAAGCAGTATGGTAGTGGCACAAAAACAGAACAGAAAGCCAGAAATAAACCTACAGTTACATGGTCAATTAATCTTCAATAAAGCAGGAGACAATACGAAATGGGAAAAAGACAGCCTCTTCAACAAAGGGTGCTGCGAAAACCAGACAGCTACAGGCAAAAGAATGAAAATGGACCACTTTCTCACACCATACCAAAAACAAACTCAAAATAGATTAAAAACTTAAATATAAGACCTGAAACTATAAAGTCCTAGAGGAGAGCACAAGCAGTAACTTCTCTGACACTGGCAGTAGCAACATTTTAAAAATATGTCTTCTAAGGCAAGGGAAATAGAAATAAAAATAAACTATTGGGATTATATCAAAGTAAAAAGCTTCTGCACCGCAAATAGTCAACAAAACTAAAAGACAACATACTGAATGGGAGAAGATATTTGCAAATGACATGTCCAATAAAGAGTTAGTGTGCAAAATATATAAGAACTTAGACAGTTGAACACCCCCCAAAACCAAATAATCCAATTAAGACATAGGCAGAAGACATGACAGACATTTCTCCAGGGAAGATACGCCGATGGCCACCAGGCACATGAAAAGATGCCTAATCAACATCACTTATCATCAGGAAAATGCAAATCAAAAGACAATGAGATATCACCTCATACCTGTTGTAAATAGCTAAAATCAACAAGAAACAACAAATGTTGGTGCGCATGTGAAGAAAAAAGGAACATTTCGGCACTGTTGGTAGAATGCAGACTGGTGCATCCATGATGGAAAACAGTATGGAGGGTCCTCAAAAAATAAAAAATAGAACTACCCTATGAACCAGTAATCACACTACTGAGTATTTAACCCCCAAAATACAAAAATACTTACTCAAAGGGATACATATGCCATTATGTTTATTGCAGTATTATTACGGAAGCAGCCCAAGTGTCCATCAACTGATGAATGGATAAAGAGGATGTGGTGATACATAAAGATACACACACACACACACACACACAAGAATATTATTCAGCCATAAAAAAGAATGAAATCTGGCAATGATAGCAACATGGAGGTAGAGCACAATGCTAAGTGAAATATGTCAGAGAAAGAAAAACACTATATAATTTCATTTATATGTAGAATCTAAAAAAACAAAAAGGCTGAAACAGACTCATAAATACAGAAAACTAGTCATTGCTGGGGGGGGTGGAAGTGGAGTGATGGGTGAAATAGGTAAAGAGAATTAAGAGGTATAAACTTCCAGTTTTAAAATAAATAAATCCTAGAATAGTCAATAGCATTCATTGGAAAAACATTGGAAAACATTGTATAGTGACAGATAGTGACTACATATATCATGGGTGAGCACTCAGTAATGTAGAGAATTGTCAAATCACTACTTTGAACACTTGAAACTAATACAACATTGTATATCAATCATATTTCTATAATGTTAAAAAGTATTTCTGCAAATTGTAAACCATACTTTTAACAGTACATCACTTGGGAAAGGAGGAATAAAAAAGGAAGACAAATCTTAATTCCTAAGTAAAAACATCTGTCAACTCCAAAGGGGGGGGGAATATATATAAAATATATATCTTTTATATAAATATAAAATTATAGGAAGAAAACAAATTCTTAAATACAGTGAATTCATGAATTATTATGAATTTTATGAATTATTCTACAGTTAAGCTCAGCTTATTCTATGCTTTATATAAAATTATTGCTTTTTCTCCATAGCACCAGTGACAGCTCTCAAAAATGACTCAACGTGATTCACTCTTCAGTGGCAAAGTAGAATAATTCTACCTACTGCTCAAGACTGTCAGAGGAATTACATAAAATAATACATGAGAAATCCACAGCTCTGTGCTTCTCTCATCCTAAGTTCTTAGTAAACAGCATTATTTGACCTTAAGGATTTATGTATCCAAATTAAAGCATATTAATGAAGTTGTTCCCAGCCATGTTTATGTCCCTTTCAGCTTTTTAAGTTTGTGAAGATTAACCAGAACACACATGACTACAGTAAAATGTTTTTATCTTTTAATTGGCTTTTGTACTGTGGTAGGTTTTCTATGGGGAAAAAGTTACTTCACAATCTACCATCACCACTTCATATAGTTCAAATATATCATTTTCTCACATAACAAAACATTTGACAAAATCTCATTCTCTGTGCTACCATAATTTTTATTCTTATTTTTTTTTTAAGATTTTATTTATTTGACAGAGAGAGGTCACAAGTAGGCAGAGGAAGGCAGAGAGAGAGGAGGAAGCAGGCTCCCCGCTGAGCAGAGAGCCTGATGCGGGGCTCGATCCCAGGACCCTGAGACCGTGACCCGAGCCGAAGGCAGAGGCTTAACCCACTGAGCCACCCAGGCGCTCCTGTGCTACCATAATTTTATTATGACTCTTCTAACTCCACAATCTCTTTAGATACTGACTTCACCAGAGTTTTGCTTTTTGTTCTCTGGTTCCCTTGTAGAGTATAAGGAAGATGTAGATATATTCAGGAGGTGGGTGGGTAGTCAGAGATGCAGTATAAAAAAGACTGATGAAACTGTCAGAAATGATAATAATGAAAATATTACCTGTTGAGTTCGGGTAACCATCTCCTTGTAGATACCATCCAGGCTGATATTTGATAAAGTGGTTAATGCTGATACAATTGTTTCTGCTTGTGCTTTGTCAAATCCTGTAAACCGCAAATATGTATTTATGTTTTTTAAAAAAATGCATATCTTTATCAACCTGAACAGCTAGAATAATTTTTCCTCATCAAATTATTGTTAAAAAAAGGTTACAGTTAAAAATTTCAGATTAGGTTATTCTCCAATAGCACTCTATAATTTTAATTCCCACTGATCCATTTCCCCATGTCTCCATCAACACTGGATATTGCTAGTGGTTTTGATTTTATAATTGGCATTAAAAAGTGAAATGGCACTGCATTATTTATCCTTAAATTTGCATTTCTTTAGTCAAGTAACTTTACATATACTTATTGCCTATTTTCTGTGAGCTATTTATGGCCTCTGCCCATTTTCCTATAAAACTACTGTAATTTTTTTCATATGAACTCTTCGTATATTAAAGCAATAGGTTCATTGTCATGTATGTTCCTAACATTTCTAACTTTCGAGTTTTAGGTCTTGCTTCCTCAATCTCAAAGTCTTAAAATATTCTACATTCTAGTATTTTTAATAGCTTTTCTCTCACTTTTTTATTTTTGACTTTTAATCAATCTGTAATTATTTTTCAATGAGAATATCTAATGTTTTTTCAAACAGCTAGCCATGTAATCTATCAATTTATTAAATAGCCCTTCCTTTCCCTAATTTGTAATACCTTCTTTATTGTTTGCTAAAAATGTCTACATGTATCTGAATGCCATTCTATTAATTCTATTCCTGTACTATCACATAATTTAAATTACTGTTTCGGTATCTGGTAATCTTTTCTTTGTCTTCTTTTTTGCTATTCTTAAAAAGTCCTTGCACTTCCATGAGAACTTTAGTATCAGCCTAGAAACTAGTTTTTCTTTTCTACATAATTGAAATCATACTACACATGTAATTTTATGTTTTTCCCCCACTTAATCTGAGTATTTCTCCTATCAGTAAATATTCCTCAACACTATTTTTTTTGACTGTAGAATATTCCACTGTATGGATGGCGCTTGTATTTAAAATTACTCTTAATTGTTCATAATAATGATACTGTCTTCACTAGGTAATTTACTGTGACTGTTAACATTCTTTCAAGAGGTACCCGTTTCTTACCATGAGTTTCCAAATCCTGAACCAGTGCATGGGTATCAAAAGTTAATTTCCTTTGTTCTAAAGGAGTTATGCCCACTCGCCTCATATCATATCCTTCCTTGGTTGTGGTGGTGAAGAAATCTGAAAAAGAAGACAGGTTTCTTCCTTGTAGTAACCAACACAAGCATGACATTTTAGTTTCTAAGGCATTTCTTCTATTTAGCACACAGTTCCAGCTCCTAGGAATCCTATAATTTCAAGGAAGAAAACGGAGTCTTCTGAGTGGCCCTCTCTTTCAATCTGAAAAGTTTCTAATGGCGACCACTGCAAAAATATTTCCTTTCCTCCTTTTAGTATTCAGATATATTTTGTTAGGAGTCAGTCGAAAGTTGTAACGTAATATACATCAAAAGCTTTAGGGGCGCCTGGGTGGCTCAGTCATTAAGCTGTGATCCCACGGCCCTGGGACTGAGCCTCAAGTGGGCTCCTTGCCCTGTGAGAAGCCTGGTTCTCCCTCTCTGACTACCCCCTGCTTGTGTTTCCTCTGTAGCTGTCTCTCTCTCTGTCAAATAAAATCTTAAAAAAAAAAAAAAAAAAAAATGGCAAGCTTTGGATATTACTGCCAAGTCTCTCATTACTGGAAGAGTAGAAACCACCCAACTCTCCTAGGGGCCAAGAAGTCTTTTATAGAGCTACAGTAATTATTTATACCTACATCACCATATAAAGTAGCTTTTTGAATGCCCACTCTCTTACATACCCATTTTATTTCCATCACAGTTCTCAGCTCTAATCTGAAACGGTCTGGTTTGTTCCTCTGAAGCAGAATGTAAGTTCCATGAAACTTTTGAGTTTTTCATCACTGTACCTTCAGTACCTAGAACGGTGCTTGGCAGATAACTGGGTCACAATATTTTACTGCTGAATCAACTGATGAATTTGATTTTAAATCCTAGGGTATATACTACTATCAACACAAAGGCCCTAGCAAATTTCTCATTTTTGCGATAAATTGTCCCATTTCAATAAATTCCCAATTTTTAACCTAGACAGAGTATGGTCCTTTTCCACATATTACTGATGAATTTCATTGAAAGGTATTCTTCAGAACTTTGTGTACATATAACTTCATTACTATTATTATGTATTAAATAACAGCTAATTAGTGTAACTATTAATTGAATAGTAGGTACTATACTAGATTTTTTTTTTTTAAGGAGATTTATTTGAGAAAGTTATTTGAGAGAACGAGCGAGAGGGAACCTGACACAGGGCTTAATCCCAGGACCCTAGAATCATGACTTGAGCTGAAGACAGATGCTTAAAACAGATTGAGCCACCCAGGCAGTCCATATACCAGATATTTTATATATTATGAATGCAAGGTGGTATTACCTACAGTTTTACAAAAGAAAACTGGACCTAGAAAAGGTGAAGAATTTTACCTAGAGTCATGGGCAGAATCAGAATTAAGACTCAAATCTTCTGAGTCCAAAGCTCATGCTCTTTCTGTCACCCTATGCTGTCTCTTTTTTATCCTAAATCACTTTATTTATCTAAGTACTTAAAAGACATAGCTGCAACCTCAGGTATTACTTTTCTGCTAGGTGATGTAGGGAAAATGTCATTCTTTCCTATGTATTTTTTCACCTGAATGCCAGGCACAGGGCATGATGTGCAAAACCAGACATAACTGATGTCTTTGCTGACTTTGTGGACTAGTAGGCAGGAAAGAGATATTTAAAAATAGTATTTAAATATAAACTCTAAATTCAATGACAAAAAAGTAATGGCCAGTTCTTTATATTTATATTCATTCAAATACTCAGATAAAAAAGGAATCAGATGTAAAGGTGGATCAATTTTGCACACATGGACATACACATTAGTACAGTGGTCAGCAACCTTTCTGGCTCTGAGTGCCATCTAGAAGAGTTAAGCAATGTCCCTCTGTGCATCAACATTAGATCTGAGGAAGAGAAAAGAAAAAAATGAGGGAAAAAGAGGGGCAGATTTCAGTAATATTTCTAATAGCAATTGTATTAGGAATGATTAGTACCCATAGTTACCCATCCTTGATTAGACGTTTAGTATTTCATTTGGGGTTTACTGCGGGGAAGGGGAGATTATACACACACACACACACACACACACACACACACACACACATATGTACATGAATGAATGGCATGATACTGCTTTCACGCCTATTATTTATCCTTAAAATTCTCATGTTATGGACGAGAAAAACAGGTTCAGAAATGCTAAGTAACTGCCTGAGATCTTATGGTCTCAGAGCTAGGTAGATGACTGCACAATTTCTTTCTTCCATGAAGGGAAGCTTCCCACTGATACGGGAAAAAGACCAAATAAATACCTAACACTGCTGCAAATCTCTGCAGGGTATAGCTGCAATCTCATGTCCAACTGTGTGCAATTTGGCCCTCTGCTCTCAAGGACTCTTAATTCTTTAATTCCCTTAATAATTTAAGAATGTTCTCCTTTTCTCTGCCTGCTCATATTTATCCTTCAGTGTTCAGTTCAAATGTCTCTTCCACCAGAAAGCCTGCCCAGACTCTTTACGGCCAGGTGTTTTCTTAATCAGGTTTTTCACAGGATCCTAGAACGTTACTTTGCCATACCTCAAAATTTACACATTTGTATGATTATTAACTGTTTACTTTTCCCACTAGGCCAGGGATCAGGTTAGCAAACCACAGCCTGCAGGCCACCACCTCCTATTTTTCTAAACAGCTTTACTGCAACACAACCATGCTCATTCACTTATGAATGAAAAAGATGAGAATTATCTAACTATAAACTCTAAGTTCAAACGATAAAAAAGAAACAGCCAGTCCTTTTCACACCTATGGGTGCTTTCATGCTACCAATACAAGAAGAGTATTAAGTGACTGTATGGTCCACAATGCCTACGTAATGCCTACAATGCTCATTGTAGAAAAACTCTTGACTACCACCACATTAGATTACAAGGTCCCTATCAGCAGGAACCACACCTGTTGTTGCTCATCATGGAATCCCCAACACCTAATACAACTCTTCGTGCTCAGCAGACATTAGCTGATTAACAGAAACTGTATTAGGTGTTGTGGATACAATGAAGATCAAGGCCATGGTTTTAAATCATGTGCTATCAAAATATATCCATAACGGAATAGAGAGGAGAGACATTTGATCCTCGATGAGAATAAAGGGTTAAAAAATGGCTATCTGGATGAAATCTTACCATCTGCAGCAATGTGGATGGAACTAGAGGATATTATGCTAAGTCAAGTCTATCAGAGAAAGGCAATTATCATATGATTTCACTCGTATGGAATTTAAGAAACAAAACAGAATGATACGGGAAGGGAAGGAAAAATGTAAAATAAGACAAAATGAGAGAGGAAGACAAACCGTAAGAGACTCTTAACTACAGGAAACAAACTGAGGGTTGCGGGATGGGAGGAAGTTGGGGGGATTGGGTAACTGGGTGGTGGGCATTAAGGAGGACACATGACACAATGAGCACTGGGTGTTATATGCAACTGATGAATCACTGAACTCTACTGTGAACTAACAGAACACCATATGTTAACTGAATTTAAAATTTAAAAAAAATGGCTAGTTATAAAAGATAGACAGTAAACCTTAAAGAGGGGTTACAGTAAACCTTACAAGTAAACCTTAAAGAGGGGCTAGCCAGGCAGGAGGAACAGGATGAGCAAAATTCACAAAGGCATGAGCTGCCTTTGCTATTTCTACCTTGGGCTCTATTTACTATGGGGCTGAGGAGAAATAGAGAAGGATCTGTGGAACATTCATTCCTTAGGTGTACTCAAATAGTTATGTAATCTTTGGCTAAGTCCTCATCACCCTAAGAACTAGGTGCTGACACCCTCCCTTGCAGTAGGACTTTAGAGAGCACTCTTCGGAGGGAATAAGGAAATGGAAAAGCTTTGATACCACAGCAGGGCTTCACAAGTACTTCAACTCATAAGCACTCCCCCTGCCTCCCAAAGCACTTTTAAGAATAAGTCTTTGCAAGCATATTAATAAGTAGAGAAGAGGAAGTAGCCAGAATCACCGTTCTTAGCTCAGGATGGGGTAACAGGTCCTTGATACCTTAAAAGTTCCCAGAACTTATACGATTGTACAAAACCCCAAACCCTTCCTTTCATATCTATCTTGTAGTTCTCTTAAAGTAAGAAACAAACTCTGTTTAAAGACTTAACCAGCATCACAAAGCTGTTAAACTGTGTATCTTGGATTAGCACTCTGGCCTACCTTGAACCAAGCTGCCTCTTTACCAGGAAAGGCCAGATTTTACTTTCCATTAACACACGTAAAATCCTGCCTCATTAAATCTAAGCTACAAGTTTTATATCAGCTTCTGCTAACTTCAGAGAAACAATACTTTAGTGACATAGCTGGTTATTAATATACATTTCTATATGCTGGTCTGTTGGCAGGCACTTTGCTAGCTACATCAGAATTACCAGAATTAAGTAACACAGATATCCCTGGGCTCCACCCTTCACGACCAACTCCCTAGTTCTGCAGTGGAGCTTAAAACTATGTAGTTTTACAAAGTATTGGGAACCAGTAATGAACTAGGAATCCAGCACTATTAAAACTTAGACAAACTGCATCACCTTCCCATGTCTTCTATTATTTATCTTTAAAAAGGATATTGAACTAAATAACTGAGATCCTTCCATAGGTCGAGGTCAAGGTTTTTAAATTCCTTCATTACTGACATTATTAGTCAAGTTTAAACTACGCAGTTAAGTATTCAATTAATATTTGTTCACTAATGATGGACACAAATCCTATTAGGTATAACGGGCCACTTAAGATTTCTCCAAGAAAGTTTTAAGTAGGGCAACTCAACAAATGTTAAAACACATCACTGCTTACTTATTAAGTATTTTCTAGTACTTCAAAAGTTCATTCTCCGCAACTGTTCAATATTCTTTGTTTACATATTCAAAATGAAAACACACTATCTCTCAAAATTTACAAAGTAAGATTGAGAATGGGATGATTTCCCAAGGTTCAAAAAATGCTATCTCCTTTTTCAAAAGTCCATCATCATGCGTAAGTAAACTCAAGACCTAAATATGTAAGCAAATACCTGGCGACAGACACTGGGAGTTCAACAGCAGCCTTACAGATGGGGGAATCAACAACTGCAATCTTACTGTGAAAGTGGAGCAACTGGCAGAATCCACAAAGTACAGTGGGCACTGGGTGGCTCATTTCCCCTGGCACTAAAGATTTAAGACGGTGAACAGAGAATGCTAAGGTTAGTACGAAGCGCCTGTTCTGTAGACAACCTTACAGAGTTTTTAAAAATGTGAGGGGGAGATTCTGGAATCATCTTTCAGCATAAAGTCTGACGTCCTTCAGGACACAATGCTAACAAGGGTGCCAACAAATTCAACACTTGCAGGTTCCAGCATTCGCGTTTTGTTTGGCTTTGAATGGCTACTCTGTGACTGCAGAGTGCTAGAAATTACAGCGAAAATAGAGCTGGCCTGACCTGAAGTGTATGCTGTGGTCTACCAAACACGGGAGCTTTAGACAGCACCCAAAAACCACAGCCTAAGTTTGAAGAGGCCACGAAAGAAACCAGAACTCTCGAACAGATTGCTCTTGACTGATCTCCCAGAGGGCGGCGACTGACAGCCTCGTTAGACCGTAAGAAGAAAACAGAGCCCGAGGAAGAAGCCAGGGGCGGGGTAGGGAAGAACTCTAGTGGCGGAGCCAGGTGGGAACCCCAGGCTCTCAGACGCCCGCTCTCAGGAGAAGACGGTGCCCTACGAGGTCCCTCGCCCTTCCCGCCCCAGCGCAACCCGGGGAGACCCTGCGGCGGGGTCGCCCGCACCGGGAGGGGTTGGGAGGGGCGTGGCACCGTGGCCTACGGTGCTCCCGAGCAGGCAAGAACCACTGGCTGTCTCCCCACAGAATACTCAGGCATCGGTGACAAGCTGCCTCGTCTCACCTCTCCGCACGGCCGGCGAAAAAACCCCGCCAAGACTCGAAAACCGACGGCCCTCATTGCCCTCAGAACACAGGAGCCGCCGAACACAGCGACTCCACATTTCCGGTTTTCGGCTGACCGGAGGAGGCGAAAGGGATGGGGGGGAGGTGCTGAATCACGCCCAGGCTTTCGGGCAAGGTAGTTCTGGCACCGCGAGGATGCTGGGAAGTGTAGTTTTTCGTCTGACCCACAAGCCACCACCAGCGGAGCCTCCAGTCGCGGTCCCACAGAGATGGGCCTCTTCACAGATGGACCCACAGCTCACGAGCATGGTTCACAGCGGCTCCGCTCCTCGCACCGTCCCTTCCCAACCAGCGCACGACGTCACCGCCCTAAGAAAGGGGGACCGTGTTTGAGACCTTCCAATGACCGTTTCCTAGCAATGAGATACAGCTCAACAGCAGAGGTTCCCCGGGAAAGCCAGCGGCCATTACCGGAGAGGCAGTCACATCCTACCGCCGGGCAAGCTGGGACTTGAAATCCTCGTCCGCTGAGCATTCCGGGAGATCGCGCAGAAACCTGGGATATGTAGTCGAACGAGGCCTTCATTCCTGTTGCTTCATGGCCTACTGCTTCGCCCTCTTGTGTATAGGAGGACGAACTTCAGTTGGTTTAGTCCCGTCTGGAGGGAAACCATTTCTGTTTCCAGAGTGGACCTGACTTTCACCACTTAAGCCCTTTGAGACCTGTTACTTCAGTCTTTGTTCCACAAAGTAAAAATCCTGAAAATAACAACAAGTTGTGGGGTTCAAATATGCTAATATATTCTTTGTAAATTCTAAAGTGGTCCCAATAGTTAGGTTTTAGTGGTTTAATTATTCTCACAAGGATGTAAACAGTTACCCCTGGATTTTCCTACTTGTTTTCAAAGCTTTGTAAATATCAGCTGCTTAACGAGCGCCATACTAAGCACTGAGGCCCGTTAAAGGAACAACACTTGATTCCTGTCAGCAAGGGTTTTAACAGGCAATTTATGGAGACGGCTATTAAAAAATTGAAGAAAAAAAAGGAAAAGCTTAAATTCACCAGGAAAATGAAAAAAGCAAACATAAGTATATACCAGTTTTACCTATTAAAGTTAAAAAAAGTTATCGATGCCAGCAAATACGCAATTAGATAGGGTCATCCACACTGCTGGCAGGAGTGTAAGTTAGTACAATACATTCGGAAAGTAATTTAATAATATATATGAAATTATAAAAAGTGAATAGCCAGAGGTTCACTTAAAAAACCTACCCAAAAATCAAAAGTAATCATAGCTATAACAAATATTTTTAAAAATTATAACCTATGGAATTTTATTTATAATAGTAAAATTTAAAAATAATCTAAATACTCAATGTGATTCAGCAACTTGCACAAATGCCCCCAATTGGAATACTATACAATCATATAGTTGGAATTATTATTCAAATGGGAATATTATACAATCATGGAATATTATATAATCATTAACATGATAAAATTATTTTAAAAAATTCTTTACATATACACACATATATTAATGATATATATACGTGTATGTATATCCCATATGATTGTAATTCTGTCAAATGACATGATGATCACTGTTCTGGAAGAGCTCACAGACTACTGGTAGATATAGACCAGTAAGTGGGACCAAGATATTTTTAATTACCTTAAGTAATAATTATGGAAAAAAGTGTACCTTTTTGTATATCCACACTTATTGGTTATTATTTACATTACTGTAAAACTCCACAACAGAAATAAAGTATTGATTAGTCAGGTGACCAAAGCAGGGCTAATCATTCTCTTTCACGGAACTTCTGTAGTGACCCATGTCCTAGCTCTTGCCCTTGTAGTTCTTGCTTGTATCCATGATGGTAGAGACACATCTGTCACTGTTTTCTCCAACACCTGGCATATCGTCTCACCCCTAATGAGCCTTCAGGAAAGATGTTTTGAATGGATCAATAAATGTTTGAAATATAGTCATCGTTTGGTGAGGTGACCTGATAGACTGGGGCATCGGAGTCATTTGGAAGATCGGGCAGAATTGGGGGAGATAAAACTGAAAATAAGAAGAAAAAGACTAAGGAATTGGGCTTGTACAATAGACTCTCAGGAGATTTTGAATGTTTTTTAGCCCAAACTGATAAAAGTTAGTTTGAGTACCTTTCCAGGAAACAGTCTTCACCATTTGCTGGGTCAGGCTTATGAATCATTGCTCCTTCCAGTGTCTGATGAGGTGACCTGGCCATGAGAAGTGCTCTCTCTCTGAAAGCAGCTTGATTTAGCCACACCTGAGACCAGTAACTTAGCAGGGAAGTGGGTCCTATCTTCTTCATTGTGAAGGGACACTTTTATTGTGTTTTTGCTCTTATGAGCCCCCAATTTAAAAATATCTTACACTCTTTACCAACCACATATACGAAGCCATTACGTATTTTCCTATTTTTGATTATTTTAAGACCCAGATAATTAGCATTTAGTGAGTAGGAGATACGCAGTGTTGATCCAATACCAAAACTGGTAACATCCTGAAGGACGAAGCACTTGCCAGTTTTTTGTTTTTGTTTTTGGTTTTTTTGGTGGTTTTCAATTTCATCTTCAGTGATGCTACAATTTGCTTGGGCATTGTGAAATTCCAGGTTCCTCATGAAGACCCCGATAGTTTTCCTTCTGAGGCTCAGAAGTCTGGGAACCCAGGTTGGGCATAATTGCAAGAGATGGTGAATGCGGCTCTGCTGACTTCAAGGAGAGAAGATGCAGCCTGGACTGCTCTCCATATTGGTCCTTTTCTCTAGGAATAGGTGATATGAAGGAGCCCTAATGTATTTTTTAGAGCACGTGAGTGAGGCTTTGGGAGACTGATGCGACCCAATGGGATCCTCTTCCTTGCTTAGTTTACTTTGAATTTTTGACACCAGAGGGAGTATGTGGACAGGATAGAAGACCATCTTTTGCCCTTGTTTCTACAACTGATTTTGTAGTTTTTGTATAATGAGTCAGAGGAGCCCATTGTCACAAAAGTTTTGTGCTAGTTTATGTTTTTTTAAAAAAAGATTTATTAATTTATTTGAGAGAGAGCACAGGGAAGGGCAGAGGGAGAGAGAAACTTAAGCAAACTCTTCATTGAACTCAGAGCTTACTTGGGCTTGATCATGACACTTAATTGACTGAGCCACCCTGGGGCCCCTGTGCTAGTTCATGTTAATATTACATTTCTCATGGCTTGAAAGTGACTACAAACCCCCTACCCACACGGCTCTGAGACCTTCTTTTCCTGATTATACTAAGGAGCTGGCAATGACAACCAATGACAAGTTTCCTGATTATAGTAAATCAAGAAAAAGATTAAAAGGAAAGAAAAAGAGAACAAAAGAATTGTTAAAACATTACTGTATTTTGCAATGTGACATCATGCCTGACAGTGTCTCTCACTGGTTATTCATTTATTCTTTCAATTAATCCTTATGGAGTACTATTTATGATGTCAGGCACTTTGCTAAGCCATAAGGATCCAGACATAAGAGCAAGTGCTGCCCTCTGATTGCTATCAGTCTAACTAGATCAATACTATGATGAAGGAGAAAGGTGCTGGGGCATCTGGGTGGCTCAGATGGTGAGGCACCTGCCCTCGGCTCAGGTCATGATCTCAGGGTCCTGGGATGGAGTCCTGCATCTGGCTCCCAGCTCAGCAGGGAGACTGCTTCTCTCTCTCCCTCTGCCTCTCCCCATCCTGTACTCTCTCAGTCTCTCTCTCTCTCAAATAAGTAAATCTTAAAAAAAAAAAAAAAAAAAAGGAGAAAGGTACCAAGGAGAAAAGTCCCTTACATCAAGGGAAGGAACTCCTGATACGTGGAACTTTCTTCATCTCTTCATGGAAGCTCGCTCATTCCTCTACATCAGTACATTTGAGCTCCTCAGCAACACCATGAGTGAGGCAGTGTTGCTCCTATTTCACAGACGGGAAAACTGAGGTTCAGAAGGCTGAGGTGACCTGTGTCCCACGTCACAGAGCAAGTAAGGGGTCGAGCTTAGAACTGAACGTACTGCTCGCGGTACAGAGAAGTCACACTGTCACTCACCCCTCCACCGCTGCTGTTCATGGCACATGGGGCACAAACTGTGAAATCATGGCTGCTGTTAGGGACACGTGGCCTCTCCTCCTCCAGGAGGCTATTCTGCATCCTTTTCCATTTGTTCAAGAAAACAAAATCTCTCATACAAGGGTGGCAACTAGGTTTCATCTTCATGACGACTCTCTTGGACTGACTGCTCGGAACAGAGCGTTGAGTGGTCTGAGGCCACATCCTGGTGTGGTAGGGAAGAGTGCCCACTGTGGACTGGCCATGTCTGCCACAGATGCAGGAAAGGGAAGGGGCCGCACGAGTGCCGTTTGTAGTACATCAAGATCCTGCACCAGTCACGACGTTTCCCATGACACTCACCTCCACCCCCAACACCCACTGTGTCCACTTTCTCTTATTCCTTCCCTTCCCAGCAGGAATGGTTCCTGTCCATTTAATAATAGCTTCAGTTGCCTGAGCAGGTAATGGGTTCAAGGCACTTGGCATATATTACTGCCAGGCCTCACAACAATCCTGCAAGTTTCAGCGAGGTTCAGTGACTAGTTCAAGGGCACATGAGGAGTAAGTAAGTAAGTTGAACCCTGAACCAAAAGGTGAGTTTTACTTACATTTTGTGGTGGGCCATGAGTACCTTCCTATTTACTGTTGGCTTAAAGCCTCACAACACCCCCAGGAGGTAGTTTTCTGGGTTTACAGCTGGGGGAGGCAGAGACCCAAAGGAGAGGAGCCGGCCACAGAGTTGGGGAGCCCTCCAGACTGGAGTTCAGGTCTTCACCTGCTGCTCCTCCCCTCCCCCTGCCAAGAGGAGCCCTGGATTGTACAGAGCCTTTGCACAGAGCTGATCTATGCCACCATGGGGAGACTCTGGGGGCCCCTGATTAATTTTACCCCATCATCCTTACTCTGTTTCCAGCTCTTCTCATCAAGAAGGTCTTTCTTTGATTGGTGGCTCCTTCTTCTGTCACTTAGCCTCTTTCCTTTAAAAAAATATATTTTTGAGGTGAGATTCACATAACATAAAATCAAGCATT